TCATGGCCTAAGATAACCTTTCATTAATCATGAATTTACATAACTTCCGTCAAGCGGACGGGTACTCCAGCTAGCATAGAATATTAATAGACTGCTTCGATATAATAAACATAAGGAAAATTTAATTATAGGTATTATGTAGAGAAAAACAAATGAATTTTACATCGAATCCACATAGATACTGTGTTTGTATAAGTTTCTAAATACTGTCCTTGATTTTAAATTACAAAGTAAGTTGAGTAGTTTAGCTAGCTGAGAGAGGGATTGATTATACTCATTAAATAGAGGGCTGAACAAGAGTTTAGGTTTTATTCTGTAACCAACATTTTGTAAAAACTTGGTATTATAAGACTGTTAGTGTTTTACATTTTATTAAAACAAACCACGCATAATAGTGTTAGAATTCATATTATTGGCGAAAATGAATATATTTAAATGTTTGATCGTACTAATTTCACTTTTCCAAAGAAGCTGTTAGAAAAGCTGGATAAATCATTTTGGTGTAATTTATGGCAAGCAATGTTTTTTTTTCAATTTGAGGATGCTGAATTCAAATATTTTGTTTTTCCGCCTAGCAAATGGTTCCTTCACCCTCAAAATTGAAAAACAAAATGGCCGCCATTTTCCCCATGGGGTTTGGTTATCTTTTGATATATAAGAGTTAAAATTGTCTTTTAGTATGCAGTTTGGGTCAATTTGTAAATGCTGAGTTCAAAAATTGGATTACAAACCTAAATTTTGTCTTTTTCTTGTGAAAAAACAACTCAAAATGGCGCCCTTTTAACTGTGTTTATTTGGGCGTAAAGGCTGCCATTTCTGCATCTGCATAATTACATTAAATAGTATCTGGTATGCCTAAATTGAAACACAAAATTAATGTTCAATAGTAGATGAGAGCTTCTGGTCATATTTTAATTTAGAAAAAGTTATAAGGAGAAAACTCATTGTCCATCTTCATGCAATCGCCCGTACATTTGCATGCCCCACAGCATCCCAACTTTGTCTTTCGACACTTGCATCCCATTAATGAACATCTTGTCTGGCATATTTGTGGTACTGGAGGTAGAGAGGACAGAACCGGCTGTAAATGACCATCTTCAAGTACCCAACCATAATCAGTCACAGAGGGAGGCTCTGGAAATGGAACGTGTGCTTGTAGCCAAATGAGAGCCTAGTAGTGTACTCTCATGATACGAAACCTGAGATCCTGGAAGCGTACTCTCATAATATGAAACTTGAGAGCTTAGTAGCGTACTCTCATAATATGAAACTTGAGAGCTTAGTAGCGTACTCTCATAATATGAAACTTGAGAGCCTGATAGTGTACTCTCATAATATGAAACATACGAGCCTAGTAGTGTACTCTCATAATATGAAACTTGAGAGCTTAGTAGCGTACTTTCATAATATTGTTACGACAGCGGAAGTCACGTGACTCTGGTAACACGTCATGTGTTTCTAGAAGGATCATGACTGTTCCTGGCAACTCTAGTCTTTTCTAGGCGCCCTCTATTTTAGTATATAAGCCCGGCAAATAAAGCGGAGATATAATAGCAGATAGACAGATATAGAGACAGATAACTGAGTCAAGTGAGCGGTAGTGACTGTAAGTAAAGTGCGTGAATCATAGCGCGTGTTTAAGTTAAAGTGACTATTGAAATTCTGTGTATTGCAAAGTTGTATTTAGAAAGAATAAACTAGTTTTATTTAAGAAAGGACTTGTATCGCTGAAGTTCCTCAGGAAGAATTTATACCGGAAATTAACAAATGACCAGATACGTAACAATATGAAACTTGAGAGCCTGGTAGTGTACTCTCATAATATGAAACTTGATGCGCTTGGTAGTGTACTCTAATGATACGAAACTTGAGAGAATCACATGTTGGAGGACGTTTGTCTAACTGCTGAGCGTTTTTGAACTGGACCATACGTATTTGGTCAATGCTATCAGCTTCAAGAGCAGGTTCCAAAATATACATACCACATTTTCAGCATTCTTTATCTTTTCTGATGTCACGGGCAATACCAAGTCCATCTAGAAGTGTGCTGTGCTCAAAAAAGCATCTTACATTTGATTTCTTGCTATGGTATGCCAAAAAAGGATATTGAGTCACTACTACTCAGGGCGTGAAATGACAGACGGTTGGACAAAGTGCATAGCGGAGACAAAGCAGAGACAAGTTCATGAATTTGGGAAGTTTCTGAGAACCTGCTTTCATCCACAGCTCTTCACACTGAAATTTCTCAAAATGGGCAAGTAGCAAGAGCAATATATCTGTGTCTTGAGCATATACAATAATGACAGAAATACTAAACTGGATACAGTGCAATATTATACATGCACCTGCTTCTTATTGGTAACTTTGAAGGAATGTAGCAGCAACATCTGATTGGCTGCAAAATACTCTTTACTTTGCTGAATAAATCCCCTGCATATATAATCACAGGTATTTCAGCTTGTGTTGCTTGCTTTGAAATTTCCACTGATAGGAACTCAACCAATTCAATCTTGTTTTCAGTAACACCTAAAATGGCTGCCCAATCATGAGGTAAAGGAACATCGGAAGACTGAATTGACTTTCTGATTGACATGGGTTTCTTGGTTTTGTTACGTCTGCGTCGAGTGGCGAACTTCACAGAGAAAATTTGGTAATGGTCAAAGATAATATCAAGCCGCATTAATTTTTCTCCTGCCTTAAAGACCATTGCACAGAAAATACTAGCAAAATCTTCAAAGGTTTTTGCCCCTTAAATTTTCCAAGGATATGGACTCCAGACATGCCATCAATGATCAATGTTGCATCTTCATTTGGAGGCAGGCTCTTATGGTAACTAATATTTGCATCAGCTAGAAGTGTGTTTGATCCTAATCTCAAAGAACCACTTAAGTCTGTAACAAAGATAGAAAACATTGTGATTAAAAGCTTGAGACACAAATTTCCCTTCACTTTTTTAGGTGTACAAGGTAATGGTCACTTAATTTTTTGGGGTGTGGGATTATTCGCTGTCATTTTATTTTTCAATTTTAAGGGTGAAGAAGCCATTTGCCAGGTGGGTAAACAAAAATTTTGAATTTAGCACCTTCAAAATTGACCAAAATCAACAGCTTACCAAAAATTACCCCAAAATGTTTGATGTCGACCATTCTTCTAAAACGTGAACCAGACTAACTTATAGAATGTTTGGAACACTATGTCTTTCTTTTCACTATTGGTGGCCCGGCATGGCCAGGTGGATAAGGCGCTCGACTCACAATCTGAGGGTCGCGGGTTCGAATCCGCATCCCACCAAACATGCTCGCCCTTTCAGCCGTGTGGGCGTTATAATGTGACGGTCAATCCCACTATTCGTTG